ATATATAAAGTTCAACTAGATTTCAAAATCTGACAAAGCTTTTGTTTCCTACAATATCTTAAAGCAATGAGTTCCAAAGCTTAGTTACATAAATATATATAAGAAATCTAAAAATTCCTTCCCCCATTGCAACCATTCAACTTCACTGATTACCTAATTAGTACAATGGTATGAGAAGCAAAATTAAAGTGCAGTTTATTTTCTTTATGCCACTTATTATCTTCCTGTGTCTATCAGGTTCTAGTCACTGTCTAAATGATGCAAGCCATCATTCTCCCCCATACAATTTTTGGTTCTTCTAATAATTCTGAACTCCTATCTGCAGTAATGTCTCACAGCACAATATAGTCCTATTTCATAAACCAGTATCACAGTATCATTTTTTTCCTATATAGTTTTCTTACTATTCTCTTACTTTCCATATTATTATATGTTACACAGCAGGTTTGAAAAGGTGTAGATTTCATAGGAAGGACACCCAAACTGCCAGCCTGATAAATCAAAGTAGCCAATACAAATACATCTACGTAAATATATGTAAATTCTTCTGCCACTTTCTAACCAAGAAACTCTTAAAACTTTATCTTTCATAAAAGTACTTTATGCACTGTGCTTTACGGTTCTGCAAATTTCACTTTTTTTATTGTGAATCTACCTCATGATATAAAAAGGCTGTCTTCAGGCTGCCAACACCTAAAACTTAAGTGAAATACAAAAGAAAAACATATTTCTTCACCTGCCACTCACAGTGGTCAGACAGTACTACCTAACGTCCCAGTAGGACGTGCACAAACCAAGGCCTCTGTAATCCAGGAATCATGCAAGATTCAGTAATCCATACAAAATTCACTTTCGTTATACATCATGCCACAAAGAATTTTATTTAATCTTCACTCAGGTGTCTCAGAGACCCTATATATATATATATATTACATTACAATAATGTGAGAATTATAAAGCTCTTGGAATGACTGTGGAACAGCCAGGTACCAATGTGCAGAAAACTGAAGGGCTAAATTGAATTTTCTATTGACAACTGTATTACTCATGGCTGTACAACTCATTAATGAAAATAAGCCTAATAATTAATCTTGATGACTGAAAAGAGTGTGAGACTGAGGCCACGAAATAAACAGACATCTTATAGGCAAGTCACTATACGTTATTTAAAATGTTTATACAAGGAAGCATGTATATTTTGCATGTATTTACTTCAAGTTAACATCTTTGCTGATGTAGCTCTAAATTTGCTTTGTGTTTCTAGACTATGCATTACTCTTTTAAATTAAGCCTATAATGCTTACCATAAAACTCATGCCACTGACATTCTGCACATATTTACAGTAATTACGAAGCAATTTTATATAAACTTTTTTCAAAAATATCAACATTCTGAATATATTAAGTTCAATACAACTGTCTCATCTCTACTACTCAGGGATATCTGCCTTAGCCAAATTTCATTTGGTTTCATTCTTCCTTCAACTTGAAAGCAATGAAAATGAAAAATATGAAAAGTACTTTGTGAATTAAGAAGCTTTTCAGATTAGTATAGCAGTGCAAAACTTAAATCTGTTTTTGTGGTACAGTCATATTTACAAGGAGAATGAAATCTTTAACTGTGTCTAGTTTTAATTACAATACAACAATAACTAAGTGCACGGAGACTGTTGCTCACTATCAACCCAGTATTTTTAGTCCAGACATCACTTCCTAGCATGTTTCAATGGGATAAAGAAGGGTGAGAGTTCTATATCTACAAGAGTGATTCAGTTCAGATAATTGGTTAATTAAACTATGAGAAATGACTATATATGTGAAAACTTAATTTTTTAAAGAAACTGTGCCCACAAATGACAATCACATTTCTACAAAGGGCTTCAATTAATACAGCAGAAACATACTGCAATGAGCTGTTATTATTATTACTCTTACTTTTATATTTTGCGTTGTGAAAACTATGCAGCTTCAACTTGTTAAAAAATATATAAGTTGATAGCTGTTAATAAGACTGAATTCATACTCCTGCATTTCCTCCACAGCAATTTCCTTAGAAGGAGATATTATCAAAATATTTAAGCTATTACAAAATAGTGAAACAAAAGCCCGAACCCTAAGCACAAAGTAGTTAAGTAGTAGACAAGTTAGAATTCTTCTTCTTCTGTTCTACCAGCACTGGTCCACTCTTCTTATCAGCTGGAGTACTTCACATACTCAAAGATGAGCAGAAAATCCATCTTCTGAAGTCCTCGCTAGGGCTCCTCTACTGAAAAGTTAATACCAGCTCTAATCCTTGAGTCCTTCCCTCATAAACTGTTTTTTGTTGTTGTTGTTTCCAAAAAAATCACTTATCTTTTAGACTCCACAGCCTAAAGCCCAGCAGGGCCTGCACTCAACACCAATTTCTATGTGTTTCCCTTAGCCCAACTGTCTTTGGGCTGTAAGCTTTTAAGCAGAGCTTGGTGGTTAAACTCAACTCATTCACTGCATTTATTGCAAAAAAAAGACTACTTAAGCAAGACGTGTCCAAAGAACCATTATTTCTGCATATCACTGGTTGGGTAGAAGGAGACTAGATTCCTTTGCATCTCTGTAAGGAGATCTACTGGACTGGGGGCTCTGGGTTGGGTTAAAGTCAGAGACTGCAGGATAAGCTTTCAGGTGTTCTAAAGATTCATACAATCAAACAGAGCTTCGATAGTTGTCATATGAATCAAAACATAGTAACAAAAGAGAGAATTAATACTCATTGAAATCAGGGCAAACTCCTGAACAAGACCCAATTTGCCAACACTACAAATGCATCTCCAAACCCTACAAAACAGGGATCATTAACAAAACTCCAGTCTGTGGAAGGAAGTGAACTTCCCAAAGAAATTCCTCCAGTTTTACAAGATCCCACCAAAGTTGAACTGCGTCCACATCAACACACATCAAGTCCCCTTCTGGAAACAAATGTTAGATTTCACTTGTCATCACTTAGCCCTGAGCCACTGCTGAAACTCATTATTCATATGAAACATTTCAGAATCACAGCATGTAACATTTCTGGTGCACAGCTTCCCAGGCTGACCCTGACACGCAGTCTATGTTTTTAACCCCATATTCCTGCTGACTTAAATGGAAACACCTCCTCATCCATTCCATTAGGTTACGTGTGATATCACTTGCATTTATTTATCATTTCAGACACACAAAAAAAATCTGTAGACTTTTACGTAGTGGCTTCCGCGGCGATCAGCCACGCTGCAGCGCCATAAATAACGAGACATTGCTACCGGGCCGACGGCGGACACCCGGCCCGGACTCCGGGGCCCGGCGCCACCCGGCGAGGACCCGTCCCCATGGCAACGGCAGAGAGACGGCGGCACGGCGGCACGGCGGCAGTACCCCCCCCCTCACCCCCCCTCGATCACCTGATCCGCGCCCGCCGGTCACGTGATACGGTCTCCATCGTCGCCATCTTGAAGCGGTGTCCAAGGGGGTGAGGATTTTTTTTTTTTCCCCGTTTCAAATAAAAATTAACCCCAAGCCGCCCCTCGGTGCCGCAGCAGCGAGCGGTGAGCGGCCCGGCGGAGGCCTGCGGGTGGGCAGGTAGGGCGCGAAAAGCGGTCGCGCCAGGCAGGCCCCGCGGCGGTGCTCGGAGCGGAGCCCATGTGCGGAGCGCGGGAGGCGGCAGCGCCCGGCGATCCTCTCCTGCCGGCTCCGCGCAGCCCGGCCGCCTCTCGCCCGCCGCAGGGCCGCTGCTTTAGGGCCGCGCCGTCGGCACCTGCGCGCTATAAAGCGGGGAGCGCGCGGGGATTGGCGGCAGCGCCGGGGGCAGCCACGGGGCAGGGGGCGGCGTGGGGCGGGTAAGGGGCATCTGCAAAGGGACGGGGGAAATTCGCGGCCAGCCGGCCCCGAGCCGCAGCTCCCGCGCTGCCCCAGGGAGGCCGGCCCGGCGCGGTGCCGCCGGCAGCGTAGCTCCGCTGGCAGCAGTTTCCCTGCCCCGCGGGTGCAGCCTCGGCGAGAGGCGGCCGGGCCCACAGGTGGGGCGACGGGTGCTGGGATCAGCCATCTCTGGGCTGTTCCGCTGTCCCTCTGTGTAACAAAGTAGCGGTCCGCGTTACACGTGCCCTAAACGAAGAACTACTTAACTTCATTAATATCCATATATACCATAATTACACAGCTGATGATATACAAGCTGCTACAAACATCCGAAGTTCAAACATCTGGAGGCATTCGCTGTTTTCTGGTTTTAGCAGTATTGTGTGGCAACATGTGACTGCTGCGATCTTTCAGCAGTCTTGCCTCTTAATTTCTATTCTGTTTTCAGGTGAAACAAGTAGGGCCAATATTTGCTTGTTCAGAATTATTACTTCGAGGGAATGTTCCAAACACGAACAGTGTGAGTCTGCAGGGTGAGTCTGAGTTTCCCAACAGCTACTGAACTTTTCAATCATAAGGAACTCAAGTCCAAACAGTAAGTCGAGTAGCAAGTAAAAATAACTTCTGAGTTAGTTCTGCACAGAATTTTTCTGTAGACCGATATCATGGATGCTTTTGAAAAAAATGGTAGTGGCCTTAAGGCTGACAAATTTATAAGACAGATGCTCTGGAAATGTAAGCAGCACTCTGCGTATTTACAGTTTGTTGGTACAATTTTAGTAATTTTATTACTAATGTTATTTAGTAGTTTTAGCAATTTTACTTATCTTATTAAATTTCAGTAGAAAGCATCCAAAGGTCTTGATCCTGCACATATTATCTGTATGTAAAGTCAGCACCCAACAGTTCTTCCAAAGCCCCATGGATAATAAATTTGAGTTATTTTGAATTAGTTTCTTGGAAGATTTATCTTCACTTTAAATAAATTCTTAAGTGCAAATTCTATTTAAGTACAGAAATACGGTAGCAACCTGCTTTTTATTAGTAGAAGTACTTAACTCCTATTGTGGAATAATTACAGGTTGTTACATGTAGTTCATTTCTTGATGGATTCAAAAGATCTGTGTTTTCAGAAGAATTAGGGGAAGCAGTATATTATGCTCATTGTCCAAAAGATGAGGAACAAAAATATCACATAACTGTAGTTCATATCTTCTCTAACAGTGTTTTTTAAATAAAAATCTGATAATAACGAGAAAGGCATGTCTCAAGGTAACTCCACTAGCTGGAATAATTAAATACAAGAAAATCCTTTTTTTGTTGTATTAGATTAAAATAGAAATTGCATGTTGTTGTGTTGAGTAGTAAGATCAGATTTATTTTAAAATCAAAACCCTTGTGCTGCTTTCCTGTACAATAAAGGAATTTCTTGCAGTTTTTATTTCAGTTCCTTTGAATATGAATTCTTTGTCTTCATGCTATACAGTAACAGGAAGATGCTTCATTCGTACCCATAGTGTGGCCTCGGCAAATAAGTCTGCAGATCTTCTGTTTGCACTGGGCAATCTCATTGCCTTCCAGCATTATAGCCAAAGATTCCCCAACATTGTTGCATCTCCTGTAATGTAAAAATACAAATGCATTATTTACATTAGTAAAAACAGCTTTCTGACACACACAGTGCTGCCTTTGGTAACAGATCCCTGCTGCAGCTGCCTCTGGCACATCTGTGGGGCAGGCTCTTTACGCTGCATATGGGCAAAGGAAGGTTTTTATTCCCATTTATTTGCCAGAGTAAACAATGTTCTCTAGAAATCACTTATCAGTTTTAAATTCCAGCTAAATACTAGATCAAGAAGTAGAAAAGAGAGGATTTAATCGGTCTTTAGACCAGTTGTAGAAGTTCTGATTTGGCCTGTGTGTCTTTCTCGTAAAAATAGAAAAAAAATCACCATGAAAGAACAGGGGATAAAGTTTCAAGGATAGATAGCTGGTAAAAGAAACAACTGGCATTCTTTATGCTCTTACATTTTATATACAGTATATAAAGTATAAATTGTGTATTAAATAACTATTTATATATAAATAGCAGAACTTGTATCAATTATTTTCAGACATTTTTTCAGAAGTAAATTCCACTGGAAGACTTTCTGTCCAGCAGTGCCATCCCTACCCTGCAGTTTTGACCACAGCACAAAGTATCTTCTCATGTAAATTTTTACATATTGGCTTCTAATTTGACCTCCACCACTACCACATCAACTGCCTGTGGTTTATAGTTAGATATGTTTAAAGGAAGTGTAAGTGGAAATAGCTACTGCCTCTAGCTCTCCCTCAAAACAAAAATAAAATCCTAACTTCAGTACAAACCGATTTTCCTTACAATTAAGGAATTGTAGAAAAAACCACAATTGCTTTTCTAGAAAATAACATTTATAATAAGTATAATTTGATGTGAATAAGTATAATTTGAAGGTGAAATGACTAATATAATATCAGAATTAACCATAATAGAAATACCAGAATTACTCATTTACCTATTTAGGAGACATAAGTGTATTAGATGAGAATGTTAGGAATACACTTCCATATCATATCATATAGCTTAAAAATACAAATCTACCAATTCCTGTTGATTAGTCTATTTAAATGTGCAGTATAAGAAAAATATAATAACTCTAACAATGCTAATGAGTTTATGCTGGAAAAATATTTATCTTCCTGTTATACAACTTGAAGAAACACAGAGGCTGTTTTGGAAATATTCTGTGCAACTGTTTTGAATAGCATCTATATTATCTACTTAATGTCCTGAAAACATTTGGCTATTTTTATCACCATTCTGGAAGTTTTTATAAAGCTAGTGAGTTTTATCTTCTACATTTAGTAAAGAAATTTAAATAGTACTGGATTGTATTTTTATTATTGTGTATATTTTTTAATATTTACTATTTTTCTCCTAGGTATTATGGAAGAAGGAAGTAGTGTTGCAGTATTGATGCCAAATATTGGAGAACAGGAGGCTGTACTGATTTCTGAAACAGTCATTGGCCCAACATTGCAAAACAGTGAAGATCAGAGAAAATGTAAAACTGATCCATTAATCCATGTGATCCAGAAGCTAAGCAAAATAGTCGAAAGTGAGAAATCACAAAGATGCCTTTTAATAGGGAAAAAACGTTCCCATCCTGACGCTTCTGCACAGTCCTTAGATACAGATAATCTTTGTGAAATCCCAGCTAAAGCAATTGAGCTATCTGTTATTGCTACTAAAAAGACTGAAGAGTTACAAGCTGACTATTTTGTGACTGAATGTCTACCACAAAGCAAAAAGAAGGTGACGTGCTACCAGTGCAGTCTATGTAAATTTCTATCACCTTCTCTCTTAACACTACAAGAACATATAAAACAACATGGGCAGAAAAACGAAGTGATACTGATGTGCTCAGAATGTCATTTTACTTCTAAAAACCAAGAAGAACTTGAATCTCACTTCCAAAATCACCATGAGCATGAAGGTAAAAATAGCATCCAGACAAACGTGCAGCAGTGTGTAAATGCATCAAGTTCATTTTTGCAAGGGACAGTGGAAGGAAATGCCAAATCAGGGGCTGGAAATACAGAATGTAAAGATACCACTCAGTCTAGTCACATATCTGAAATGGGTAGGAGGAAATGGTACACTTATGAGCAGTACGGCATGTACCGATGTTTAATTTGTCGGTACACCTGTGGTCAGCAACGAATGTTGAAAACGCACGCTTGGAAACATGCGGGTGAAGTTAATTGTTCCTATCCTATCTTTGAGGAAGAAAATGAAACTGCCAACTTGTCAGAGACAGCTGTAACTCATACACCTCATAGCATGGATACAGTTGTTCTTTCTTTGGAAAACAATGAACTAGATATCCATAGTGAACCTACTCTTCAGCTTCAGATTTGCAATTCTGAGCAACTGTCATGCAAATCACCAGTAGGAACAAATGTAAAAGAGGATGAGATGATAAATCAGTCTGTAGTGCATTCTCCTACTACAGAGGAGACTGTTTCAGATACAGAACAGGATAATTTGATAACTGATAGCCTACTTTCATCAGCACAGAAAATCATTAATTGCAGCCCAAATAAAGAGGGTCATGTTAATGTAATAGTCGAGCGTTTGCCAGGTGCTGAAGAAAGTGTCTTACAAAAGTCTTTCTTGATGAACACTGACATTGAAACAGAAAAAAAATTAATCTCAGAGGAATCCCATGTTACCTCTGAAGAGCCTAATGGAGTTTATCATTCAGGTGAAATCCAAGAAGTAATAATAGGATGGAATAATACTGAGAAAAAAGACAGTGAATTAAGCTCCATAAAAAATGTAACAACTGATGAAAATGCACCTCCTGTACGAAGAAGGACAAATTCAGAGTCCTTACGACTACACTCACTAGCTGCAGAAGCTCTTGTTACGATGCCTATCAGAGCTGCAGAGCTAACAAAGTCTAGCTTGAGGACTTTGACTGGGGAAGACTCTGTGGATGCAGATACAGGGCAGGGAGAGGCTGACGGCGCAGGCATGGCTTGTTCTAGAATGGTATCCTCGCTTAAGAATCCATCAGAGGAGTTTACTGGCTTAAACCAAAGTGAATGTGCAATAGTTGAGATACAGAAAGAAAGGCCAGAGTTATCAGAAGCACCAATTAAAATGGGCATCAGTATGTCTCTACTCACTGTCATTGAAAAACTGAAGGAGAGGACAGATCAAAATGCTTCTGATGATGACATTTTGAAAGAATTACAAGACAACGCACAATGCCAAAATGCAAACGATGCAAATATTCCAGGAAGTAACCTAGTAGAATATATACCTAATGTAGACCGACCCTACCGCTGTCGCCTCTGCCACTACAGCAGTGGTAATAAGGGCTACATAAAACAACATTTGAGAGTCCATCGTCAGAGACAGCCCTATCAGTGTCCTATCTGTGAACACATTGCTGACAATAGTAAGGATTTAGAGAGCCACATGATCAACCACTGCAAAACAAGAATGTATCAGTGCAAGCAATGTGAAGAATCTTTTCATTATAAGGTAAAGTTATTTCCTGAGTTTGTCTATAATCGCTAAATAACCTGTTTTCCTGCTTTTTTATAACTGTTGATCCTGCTTTATATCTACTTTCATTCTGACACCCTGGCTTCATTTTCATTACAATTGGAGATTATTGCCAGCAGTACTTTCCAGATACACCAATCAGCTATAATTACTTTGCCTTACCCACTGAAATAAACTATCTTCTTCATGTAAGTTATTTTCATGGGAATCATCTAATGGACATGCTAATATCCTGTTGTTCTGCTAAAGTGTACCAGCTAAAGAAGTGGAAGCTTCAGATAACTTAATAGCTGAAATTTTAAAAGAATGCTCAGACATTCAGACTACTGGGAAGTGTGAGCAAAAGTAACAGTAACTGGGGATAATGAGAGAAACTGTGAAACATTATTTTCTTTCTTCCTCTGTTGTTGTTTGGGGCTTGATGTTCTGTAGAACTGAGATCTGAAATATGACATGCCAGAGTAGAATTAAGCATTTGTGCTGGTGCGTGTGTTCCTATACAGTCAGTTCAGTAATTAGGAACACAGAATAAATAGCAGTAGTCTTAAAACTGAAACTATTGTAGGCAGTGGTAGTGCAAATTTTCCCCTATTTCCTGTTGTCTAGTCCTAATTTGAAAAAAAAGAAAAAAAAAAGTAGAAATTGGGTAGAAAAATGCTGCTCCTCCTTCTCCCCAGGGAGAAGAAACTACAGTAACATGTTCTTAAGTCAATAGGCAGTAAGAAAATTGAGCCTATTTTCACACAAGCCATCCTCTATCCTCTAATCTCATATTGCTTTTGCAGTATGATAATTCTAGAGAAATAACTGTTTGCCACTTGTATATGAGAATGGAGGAAGAAGGACAGAAGGGAAAAGAAAAAGCTTGACAGAAAAAAAAGTCAACACATTGTGGTATATCTGTGTATAAAATGTTTATTGACACTTTTCTAATGAACGGATTTTATAAAAAATTAACACAAATCACGTAGTCATCTCAGTTATTTTCATCAATCCTTTATGTTATTGATTTATGTATTTTGGTTTTATTTCTAGTAAAACTAACTAAGGGATAATCTGCGTATACAGTAATGTACATATTATAACAGTTGTCATTAAAACTTGAGTGACTGTGTAAATCACTGCAGTGTCTGAAGTAAGCAGTGAATGTTTGTAGTGTATATTGAAACATGGGAAATTGTGTTTTCAGAGCCAACTGCGAAATCATGAGAGAGAGCAACACGGTCTTCCAGATATCTTTTCAACATCCACGTCTAACAAACTAATAGTTTCCAGTGAAGCAGATGAAAGAGAAGGTACTGCTTATATTGACACTTGAAATTATAAAAAGTTGTCTGGAAAATTGCCTGTTTGCTGTTCTTGTAGGCTTACTGTTTCTAAGATCTCTTTTGGGCCAAAATGTTTTCATGTCTATTGCTAACCTAAATGCATGTAAATGTGCAAACTTACCATAAATTATGCATTTTGAGATCTCTTACAGACATTTGTTAGTAAGCTGAACATTTTTTGCATGTGTGATTAGATCCCATATTTCTTTTTGCAAAAACAATTAAAATACTTAACAGATAACTGGTATGGAATATTACTCTATTTCAAGAAAAAAAAAACTTTTTTTCCTTTCTTCAACAGCTACAGTATTTGTCAAATAGCCTGAAGTAAACAGAGGCATCCTTTTTTTAAAATCACTGTGATAACGTAGTTTGATATCAGCATATATATATATATAACGCTGTCCACTCTGTGATTAGAAATTTCTCTTTAAATTATGAAATGTCCAAACTTTATTTTAGCTCTAGAGAAGCAAATGTAAGGCATTTGAAAAACTATTTGTAGTCATTACCAGGGTAACAATAGGGCATTTTCTGAATGTTTGGTTAACTATGTAATTTAATCATGGTTTTTTTTCTGAAGAAAATCCAAACACACTTGATGTGTAACGATAGTGAGATGGGGGGAAAACAGCCAATATTTGAAGTTTAGGGAAGATGTTGTTTTAAAATCATTGAGTATCCTGTGATCTTAAAATCATTTGAGTATCTAGGAGGACCAATATTTAATATTATATTTTCAGTGCATCCTCTCCTCTGGTGAGTTGAAGTTCCTGAAAATATTTACAACACTTCTTTAGGCAACACTGTAATTTTTAGTGCTTGGCAATTTTAGAGCACTGTGGGAAAACGCCAGTAATTATATCACCTCTCAACAACTGCGAGCCAAAATATTTCACATTTTGTGTACCAGCATGAGTCAAGTTGAATGGCTTGAACAACTAACAATGTCCAAAGCAATATGGTACACATCAGAATAAAGTGACATCCGTGACTCTTGACTTGCATTCTGTTAGCTCACACTGCATCTTTTTTCTGGCTTTCAGTGTACAAGTTAGAAAATGAAGATGGCTAGCTGCTTTTGAAGATACTACATTTTATAAAGGTGTTGTTAGACTTTATATCCTGACTTTGTAACTGAACTTCCATAAAAGAGGAGCCTCTGTTCATGAAAACGTCCTGCTTTTAATTACTTTAGAGATTTTTAAGATACATATTTTTGCTCATTACTGTCTTATGAAAGTGCTACATCCAAGCACTTTAATTGATTGTTTACCCCACTTGAAATTTAGTAATGTAACTTGAATGAAAACAATGCTCCTTTTAAAGATGTATTAACTCATACTTTGGAATGCCTAAATTATTTCAGAACCAATTTATAATCAAATTGCAACACCACTGCAGTACAGCAATCTCTTGTCAAACAGATGTCATCCCTATAAAGCAACACAAAACAAAGAAGTTTATGGCATAGCAGCTGTTTATGTGAAAGATGCCTGAGTTGGAACAGTTTCATTTCTTGTTTATGAAATAGTTAGTCCTAAAAATCTCTTTATTCATCATGGTTGTACAATAAATTAAAAGGGAGCATGGTGACACTGGATATGATTGGATTGTAAATGTCTAATAATGAAGGAATAGGGTAATAAGCTGAATTACAGGAACACCTGTTACTGTAGCAACAATAAAGACCTGTGGTTTCCATGCTCACTTTCAAGAGACCTGGTGTTCTCAACCCAGAAAGCAAGAAAGCCCCTACAACCTCAAGAAATAAGCCATCAGAGGAGGCAGGGGACAGCACTACTGCTTCATTTCAGCTAGAGATTATATAGTGTATTATAATTTATGGGCATTTTGTTGAAGAGATAAAACTAAAGTACTGATTGATATAAATAATTGCTCCTAAGTACATGCTACTGCATGGTTAGCCCCTTATAACTATGCACTAGATAATATGTTTGCATAACACTTTAAAAATCTCATTAGATACTGTTTGCTTTAAGCTTACTGCCCATAAAATACCAAATTCATAACAGAAAATACATTTAGAAGCTGTTTTTCTAAAGTTTCAGCATTAAAGATGGAAAATCCATTCAAGTAGAGCATGCAGTAGCCCAACCTTCATAAAACTCCCGCTCTATAGTAGATCTGCAGTCCAGTGTCTTTGTGTTCCTCAGAGCTCTGCATAAATGTGCATTAATGAAAGAATAACTGCAGTCTCCAAGGGTAAAATGAAGAATGTTTTGATAATTTGCATTAAATATTTTTTAAACAGCAATAATTTTTTAAACTATTTCTACTATATGAGAGTATAGTAGAAAAAATATAGATATATTTTGCTTTAAGAACATTAATGTTGAATTGCAAAGAGTGCACACTAAGTATTACTTCCATATTGTTTTTTTATTTAAATGCCAGGTGAGTGAGCAATTTGACATGTTAAATTTGAAGTAAAAAGTAAGAAGTATTTTTATTTATCTTTGTACATGCGGGTTCATTAAATTTTATTTCAAACTATTTGTGCATTCTGATTACTATTTTATATGACATACTATGAAATTCTTCAGAATTCTCTCTGGTCTACATTCCCTACATAATGATTTCAAATGTTGAACAAAAAATGCTAATTTTTTTAGTAGCTCTTCACAATACAAAGTGATGGTTTGTGCTGGAGATGTTCTTCATTGGAGCATGAAGAGTTATGGAAGTTCTTGCAAGATATGAGCTTTACTTTGTCTCCCATACTTTACACAATGAACTGTATATTTATTTTGGTCCTGGGATGTACTTTAAAGTACCCATCAGAGAAATCCTCCAGGGATCTGTATCAATTCCTTCAAAGCTTCTGTACATAACTGAGATTAATGTCTTAAGTGTTCACTCAGCTAATAGGAATTTGTATGAGGATGAAGTGAACTTGAACAACTTACTTGTAACTGGAAAAGCAGAATTCTAAAACTTAGGTTACTGAACGGGTTAGATGCAGAAAGGAAGCCCTTAGATGTTAATTTGATACTTCTTTTGACAGTTGTACTGATTTAAATAGCTCCAATCTGTTGTTCCTTTGTATTTCTGCTATTATTTCATTTGAGGAGTGTGTGAAGGCTGCGCGATTGGCTGGAGTGGGAAGAAGACCCATATAAAAATACCATCCCTCCTCCTAAACGTTAATATTTCAGCCAAGATAAGTTACATTATTCAGTGAGGGAGCAGGAATAGGACTGGTAAAGTCTACAAAGTCACGTCCCAGAAATATTCAAACTGTGCACTTGCGGGCACACATTTTCCTGTCTTAAATTAGTCATTAGCCTTTGTCTCTGCAACCATTAATTTTTCAAAAGTCTCTTTCATTATGGAAGAAAAAACGATTTTTATTGCAATTGCTTTTCAGTAATTTGGAGAAGTTCCAAATTATTTTTTAATACATCTGGTCAATATCTTTTTTTTTTTTCTCAGATCCTTCTAAAAGTGGATGATAAAAAGAGTCTGAGCTTTTCATGAGACCTTTTGCTTGTCTTTCCCATATTTGCCAGTTAGAAACTTACCCTTTATCAGTGCCCATCTTTTTTTCTTCATTTGATTCATTCTCTCATTTTTTCAACTTTTGCTGTAACCCGGGATTTTGAGCCCACTGGAAGAAGAATAGAAATGTTCATAGAGAGGAAGTATGTGTCTTCCTTAAACTTTATAATTCCAGTAAATGGTAGGGCAAATGCAGAACAGCGCGGTAATAAAAAAAAAATGCACCTTTTTTTTTTACTCTATGTCCATTGCCAGTTTGCTCCAGTAAAGTATTGCCTTTAAAGTTAATTCACGTTTCATAATTTTCAGCTGTGCTGAAATTATCATCTGAGAACTTCATAAAATGCTGGATGCAGATCTTTAAAATTTTGTATTTTTTTTAATGTAGGAAGTAAGTCTTCAGTTCAGAAACTGTATAGGTGTGATGTATGTGACTACACCAGCACAACTTATGTTGGCGTACGAAATCACAGACGAATTCATAACTCTGATAAGCCATACAGGTAAGAGTCTCAGTTATTGCTAAATAACACTAGGCTTGTAGACTGCTTATTTTAACTAAATAGATTACTGTATTGCTCATAGAATTTCAAAGATATTATTAAAGAATGTCAATGCAATAATTTTACTGCAGCTTTGAAGGAGCCACATTTACTGTTTGACTCAAACTAGGTAATTAAGATTTGCTGTAATCTCCAGGATGTTATGTGACCAGCTTGTTTTCAGTTTGAAGCAGATGTGCAAAGGGAAGTAAATACCTTATAATATTGAACTTTGGCCACTAGTAATAATATATGTTTAGCAAACTCCCTTAACACTTTATTTTGAATTTGCCTTCTTGCAAAATGTTCTCCATTGCCATTAAGGCAAACAGCAAGATACACATTTCTTTTCAAAGGAAGTAGGAGTCAAGGTGTGTTCATAATGTATTGGCTTATTCAGTTTGGAAGAGTTCTGCCTGTTGTCCTGTTCCCAGCCCCCTTACCTTTTTTAAAGGTTTCAAACAGTATTAATGCATTTAGGTCAGATACAGCTTTTCTATAAAGGATATTACATGGATATAAGAAACTTTGATATCCAAAATTGGCTGTAATACTGTATAGTTCTCATCATCTCATCAGAAAAAATAAAGTATACTGCATAAATTCCTGCAATTTAAATCTGCTTATTTGCTGTGGATCTCTGTCCCTCTCTAGTGGCTAGAAAATAGATGTGAGTTAATACAATTCTTATCTTTTTAGCACAAATTCTGGAAACTCATCTTAACACCTGAAAATGCTGAGCTCAGTCAGGGCCTTTCTTTTTTGTCTAAATTATAAACAGAGGACATTTTATTTTGATTTGTGCATTATGATGATATCCAGTATCACTAGCAAAAATTTGCAAGATGTTTGCTCAGATAACAAGTGTGGAATACAAACAGATTTTTCTTTTTCTCAGAATCTTCCCTATTGCCATTATTTGTTACTTGGTGAGGTTGGAACAACACATCTGTAGCGTCTTACTAACTTCTGAGTTACAGCTAGCTAGCCTGTTTGATCAAGGAGCCACTGAAATTTTTCCACTGATGCTATAGACTGCTGTATATTACATTTAAGCCTACTGATCCAGCTTGCTTTTCTTATTATTTTGGCACAAGCCCTTTAGATACATTTGCAGACCTAGTGGGATACTGAAGCCACAGCCTAAAAACTGTGAAGAGCCAGTAGCCGTGGTATTTCTCATTTTGAAACGTGTATTTTCCTTGAGCCTTTCATTATGTCAGATAGCAACCTAACTACATTGCAGCTATTTTTATGCCCACGCAAATACTTTATTACTTATTTAACAAAAATTGTTGGAAATTAAACTGTCTATATAGCCTCTAATGATGCATTTTGGAGATTTGATACCTCCTGGGTTTTAATACTGCAAAATTAAATCCTTTCAATAATAAAGGGAGTAATTTCAAGTTAAATGTCCTGCAGTCTCAATCTTTTTCACCCTGTAAACCAAAATTAGTAATGACTGGACATTTTACCATTTGAAAATAGAAACAACTGAAATACTGAAAAATATGCAAAATTTTAGCTAATCCTGATGAATTCCATTAGATCTATTTTATTGTTATATATAGGAAACTTTATTATAATATACTGATATTTATGCATAGCTTAGTACTTTAGAGTGAAGGATTCTGGGATCCAAATCCAGGGATCCTGATCCAGATCAGAACTGTTTTATGTATTATTTTTGTGAAAAGATCCTGTGACAGCAGTCAAAAAAATAAAATCTGAGTGTGATGAGACACACATTTTCTTAGGGTACTTTATTCTAATTGTGTTGATCTAGTCTGTGACTTTTACTTCAGTTATAATGCTCTGAAACTTAGATGTTTTATTACTAAATAGGAGTTTGGCTTTTATAATGTCATGAGAAATGTCTATTATTTCAGAAAGTAGAATACATGTTCTTAAGGGACAATACTCACTTCTAAGTGCACTGTCTCCCTATAGTTTATATGGTCATATTCTGTTTTTGCATAGCATAGCCAAGCAACTTACATCATGACTGCTTCAAGACCATCCATTACAGATCATAATGCTTATCAGCTTCAGAAAAGGCCCACAAGGTGGATGTGAGGACAGAACATGATCTGTAAACGTAGTGATTCTAGCTTTAAGATGGAGACTTTGGGGGATTGCGTGGTCCAAAAATTAAAAGTTAAATGTCTTCACTTAGATTTCTGTAAATGTTGTTAGCCTTTAATTGCAGTCTTTCCAGACCTTTGCTTTCTCATAGATTTTATTGCTGCAACAGTGCTAGCAGTTAATTGTCAGATTGTTGTTGTCTCTTTAGATGTCGAGTATGCGACTTCGCCACCACAAATATGAATAGCTTGAAATGCCATATGAGGCGTCACCCCCAGGAGCATCAGGCAGTGCAGCTAATGGAACAGTACAAGTATGTAACAGTTTGGATTTAGCAAAAAGCTGTGATAGTAGTGATTTTGTATTCAAGATATAAGGCAGAGTTCAGATTATAATCTTTTCCCTCCTAGATGCATTCCTTGTTCCAGTGACTTTTTTTTTTTTTTTGAAAGAAGGAAGAAAAGAGATTTGATGGGGGACATCCCTCTTTCTTTCCAAAATGGCGTAATACATAAACTGCTTATTGCAAGAGGCTTCTTGACTGCGTTACCTGCCAAAGCATGCTCAGAATTGTTTGGGAGAATGTGTGTGCCAAAACCACTTCTAACAATTATTCATGGGCACTGGAATGTAACAATTTATGTTTTCTGGCTTTGTTTAATATCCTACTCTAGGCACAACCCTGGTAAGAGTCCAGATTTGAATCACACTGCCCTAAATAAAAGTAATATGAGTGGCTATTATGTTACCCATAATATCATTTCATTTAATATACGTCATATTCTAGATAATGATCTTGAAGTGTAGAGCATCAGACTAAAAGTTGTTGAGTTTCTGCCTTTGATGATATATGCTAAAGCAGTCAACATCATTTAGCTCATGCTCTCAGCAAAGTAAATCTGGTAGTAAATAATCTGTTTAAATTAATGCACTTTAAAAAAAGACTAATTATAAAAGGGGTTAAAAACACTGAACTGCTGCTTCATTCACCATGTATCAACCTATGAAGCCCAGCTGTACAAGTGGTGCAGAAAAAAATTATATAACATCACATAATAAAGAAATCAGTGGAATACATATGCATATAGAATTGATTCAACTTCTTTTTTTTTTTTTTTAAGCTTGCGTTTTGCAAAATCTCATTTTGGCCTAATGTTATCCATAAGTGAACAATGAGGTCTGCCTTTTATCTTGCTCTTAATAGTGGCATTGTTTTGAAAAAGTGTTTTCAGAAATACTAAGATTTTAGATCTGAGGGTGAAGTTGTCTGTTTTTGAAAGCTGTTTTATTAACAAGGCTTCAAATTAGAAGGAAAAAGGAAAAATGGTATGTGCCTTCTAAATCAAGTAGTAGAGATAAGTTGGGCTAGACAGACATGCCTGTTGTTCCACAGCAGGACAGAATTACCTTCCTACATAAAAGCGGCAGTGGAGTGATGCCATCTAGTATCATCCCTCTCTTTCACACTGAAGGAACCAGTTTATCATCTCAGAAACACTTGCAAAAAATGCTTCCTTTTTTGTAGGTTCATGTATGGAAAAAGTCCTGTGGGATTTGTTAGGTTTTTTGTGTCTGTAAGTATGCAATATATTGCTACACAAATATTTACTTTCCAAGGTTTTTCAGCTGTTCTGCACAGAGAAGGAAACATTTTTTGTTCTGTCCTGAATCCTGTTATGTATTTATCTGATTGCCATTAATAGTCTGAATTTGCAGCTGCTTTTAGAAAGAGGGATTGGATTATTGAGAAAAAGAAAGATGTTCCGAATTATTACCCGCATTAAGCATTTGTAGTTCTGTTTAATTTACTGAAGTGTATGCTGAAATCTTGTCCCTATACTAAGTAATTGGAATTGTATACATAAAATCCTTACATCCTAAAAGCGTAAATTAACTTTAAGAGGACCAAAAATACAACTAAAATTTGAAAAGTATTCCTCAAACTGTCATTCCTCAAAAGATAAATACAGTTTAATAACTAGGATTTTTTAGGATGTTATTTTTTCTAAATTTTATGTGTAAAAATTCAAACTGAGTTGAAGAACAAGACAGCATACCTTATAGGACATTGTTTTATAGGGAGCTAGAAAATTTGTGGTACTTCGACCTGATGGACCACTTTGTGGGCAAAACTGTCATGTGTACGAGTTTCAGTCTGCAAATAGATTCCAGAACCTGACTGGATGCTGCCCTGGGAACCTGATGGAGCTTATCCTGCTTGAACAGCTGGTTGGAGCTGGATATTCTCAAGGACTGCCTTCCAACTTCCGCAATTCTGTGATCCTCAAATAAGCTAATACATGCTGCACCAAGAAAGGTTTTATCAATTCTGTTTAAATTAGCAGTGCTAATTATTACAATTTCTCTTGGTTCAGCACAATTGCAGACAAAGCTCACTATCTGCCTGCCAGCTGCCATACAGACATACTCCACGTTTCTGTAGTCATTAGAACTATTTCATTTTTGCAGTATTTAAACA